CTGAGAGATGGTCCACCACAATGTCCAGAGCACCCAGGTCATGAAAGGCAAACAGACATGTAACGTCTGGAAGCAGATGATAGTGGGAAGGTTCCCCTTCATGGTTGTTGTGAGGCATTACTGTGGAAATGTCAGAGTGAACCTTAACCATAAGATCCACTAGGAGAAGGAAAAATGGGAGCATGCTCATTGGGCAGCAAGCATTACTAGGATACTGATGAGGAGAAAACTCTCTTCAAAGGTCCAACAACCCAAAGTGAGAGAGTCGTATGGGGATGTTCCCAAAATGGTGAGGAATGAGTAGGGAATAGGAGAAGATGGGCTTGGGAGGAGGTACAGGAACACCATTGGTAGAGTTCAAGTGCTCCAGCCACCAGGCAAGATCGTCCAGGGGATGGGTATAAAGAGGACCCGTGAGTCACATATGGTTTACTGGAGGTGATGCATATGAGAAAGTCTGAGTGGAATGATAGGATCCAGGGAAGCCTTAGTCATCAAAGAGAGAACCTAATAAATTGATGGACAAGGAAAGGAGCAGACTTAAGTGACAAGACTTATAAGGTCCAGTAGTCAGAGAGGATAAGGTTGGGCATGACTGAGGAGAGAGCTAAAAAGTAACTAGAGGTGAATAGGACATTGGGATAGGGTAGGAAGGAGTAGGAAATGTGAATGAGCTATTCCAAGCGAGCAGCTCCATAAAGCAGAAGTAAAGTTTGACTTACAGATTCCACTTGGGAGAGAGTAAGGAAAAACCTGTTGACCATGTAGATGATGAGCAAAAGCCCTCATAATGAAATGGAAAACACAAGAGATTAAGGCTAATTCAATGGAAGGATACAGAACTGATACACAGGGGCCATAGGAACATGGAGAAATGTGTCCAACCTATCTGCCTTGGTCATCCATAAGTCTGGTTGGATAGACCAGAGGAGAGAGAGAGAAATAAATATCCTTCCAAAAATGAAGGATGATTAAAATGTGAGTGATGGATGATAGGTGGTCAATGAATGGGTGCTAGTCCCTGCTTTTTTTATGGGCAATTAATAACCCAGAAAGGGTCAGGAACTCATTCTATGGATTGTTACTCCAATAGGTTTGAAACTGCCCCATCCAGACATTGGAGGAAAGCTGGAACTGAGGAGTGAAAAAAAGAGAAAGTGGAGGGCCGTACCATGAGTTAACACTAGAATGACCCATTTGTCTAGAGCAAAATGGACCTATAAATGAGCAAACGGGGATGAATGGGGTCCCACGTTACCTGAACCAACCTGATGATCACTGACTGTTATAACCACAGGAGGGCTTTTGGATGGAAGCAGGACAATACGAAATTGAAGGCAGGGAAACTGGAACTAAACAAGGAGAAGAGGGTGGGTGAGGTTGTGGGAAAAGTGTGGAGGAGTAAGATCAGAACAAACTTCAAACTAATGAGGAAAGGAAGACTGATGTCAGTCTGCCTCAGCACTGGATTACAGGGAATCAGTGACAGTGCCAAAGAGTTCTTGATGGAGTGATGGGGCAAAACAAAGGTCAAGAAGAAAAAGGTGAGTAAAGTGACATGGAAAGGTAGGGTATCTCTACCCAAGAGGTCCCAATAATAAGAAACCAAGTGATAGGTGAAAGTACAGAGGAAGTTGAAGATACCATGTACAAGAAAGGAAGGGTCTGAATGTACGTTGTAAACTCATTAGTGGAATGGTGGTGTGCCCCCGTCATGAGAGGGAAGGTAACAAAGGAGGGTAGTAAGGAAAGCACAAAGTGGAAATGGGATACATGATACTGACACACCTGACAATTATTGCTTCTCCCAGACTGCAAATTTGACCCAAAGGACTGGACATCCAGGAAAGGGACATTAAGAAATTAGGTAGGAAACTGTTAGGTGTGGAGGAAGTGGCATAATGTTGTGAAACAAAACTGTTCTAGAAAGGATGAAACATTAATGGAAATAATTAATGGAATAAACCTAGAAATTTGGAAATGGAATGGTTTTGTAAAAGATATCAGGAAATGTTATAAGAAATGGGGTAAGGAAAAAGAATGGTACACACCTGGGTAATACGTTCTCAGAAAACTTAAAGAAGATTGTTTTCCAAAAGGAAAGGAGGTACTCCAGTCAAAGGTAAAAAAATAAAAAAATCCACTTCATTTCATTCACCTCAACTTCAGATTCAAAATCTTGTGAAAAGAATGGTGTAGCAGAGAGGTAAGAAGAAAGTCATGGTGGCAACATGGACCCCACCACATACTGAACAATGCCTGTCATGATCTCAAGAGGCAAAGAACTTCATAGATTGTTGGTAATTGTAAGTGATATTTGTATTCACTTAAGCAGAAAAATAATTCACATTAAATTGTGAATTCATATTCAAAGATTGAAAACACAAAGTTGTTGAAATAAAATACTTCAACAAGTCTCAGCAAAAATAAACATCTTTGCACCACTGTGTGAATAAATAGAATGAGGAATTTTGCTTTTGAATGTAGAGGGTGCATTTGTGCAAGGAGGTATGTTGCACTGCTGTTTGTGGATGGTTTTGCTGCATGATACATCATCATGCAGTTATGCAAATTCACATGAATTTTAGGTAGGAGTTTTCATAAGGCTGCTGGCATGGAAGTTTCTCAGGCAGATTAGTGCAGAAAATAGCTTTCTGTGTATGGAAGTGAGTAATCATATTGGAATAATAGACTAGGCATATATAATACATGGTTGTGTATTGGCATTACACAGTGAAAAGGGAGCTTTTTAGACCTACAAAATTATGATTAAAAGTTATATAAACTGTAGAATTTTTTAACTATCTTACTAGATTCCTACTGCTAGAAAGTACGTTGGGAGGGCAAGGACGACACAGGGGAGGTAG